GGAAAGAGATTTAGAAAAGGCTGAAAAGTTTGCCTGGATTTAAGAAAAAGGACAGTTTTTTTGCTCCACTGACTATGTGAGGACAGGGCTTGACTAAGGGTCCTAAACATATCTAAAGCCATAAGGTACTTCAGCTTCTCCACCCTGCTGCCCAACAAGAATCTAGAGAAGCACAAATCGCCTGTTCATCACACCGTATCTGCCGGCCCAGTTTGCTTCTTAACACCCTAGCACGTGTCAACTTATAGCAAACACATTTATACCACTGGACAAAAATCTACATCTCTACTGACTTAGTCTTCAACGGGATCCCATCCCAGAGCTGACAAGACAAAGGATGTTTAGAGCAACATGCTCACAAAACAATTAAGTTAGATTAAATGGCAATGCTGGCACAAGGACTACCATCAGCCAAAGCTTGAATTCAGGATGTTCCTGACCAGGGAAGGTTGTACAGAGGTTGTACATGTGACTCCAGAGAGATCTGGAGGGACAAAAAGCACTTACTTTCCAGTCGAGACCAAGTAAGGACACCAAAAGCACAAGTTAGATTTCACGGCTGGATTTGATGGTTTAGGAGGACTTCTCTCAGTTCACTGGTCCTAAAACACCTACACTTGGCATGTCTTTCTACACTTTAGCAGACAAGTTGACAGAACTGAAGAGACTCGCACCGCTCTGCTGCCCCTCAGGCCCCTCAGGCCCTACGAGCCCCCTCGCCCCGCAAGGACACGGCCGGCACAGCCCTGCCCTGGCTGAGGGGGATGACGACCCGCGGCCTCGGCAGCGCGGACCGGCCCCGCGAAGCCCGGGCTGAGGGCTCCTTCGGCCATGCGTCTGTGAGGCTGAGGGCGGGCCTCGGCCCCGGGGCGGCTCTGACGCCGGCAGGCCGAGCGGGAGGCGACCGGTACCCCGCGCCCCCGCACCGATGCCTAATAGGAACGAAGCAGGAGCAGGTCCGCCCCTTCAACTCACTCCCCTCCTCTTCTCTCGCCACACCAAGCGCCAGAAACCGACCACCCCCGTTCCCGTTCCCGTTCCCGTTCCCGTTCCCGTTCCCGTTCCCGTTCCCGTTCCCGTTCCCGTTCCCGTTCCCGTTTGAGGAGAGGTAGACGGTCGCTTAGTGGCCGGCGGCCTGGTGGTCCCAGGGGTGAGGCGGGGTCTTATCTCACAGGGAGAGCTGTGTATAGCGCATGTCTCTGGACGTAGGTGTCTTTGGAGTTATGTCTTGGAAGCCATTTGGCAGCAGTTCCCTCAGGGAGAGGAGGGTGTTGGGGTTAGCATAGGGAACCTTGTGTCACTGGGGAGGAGAGCAGTGCTGAGGGCGTAGAGTCAGAAGGAAATGGTGAGCGCTGTTGTGGTATTTGAGACCCCACCTGGAGTACTGCATCCAGCTCAGGAGCCCCCAACATGGGGGGACCAGAAGGATGTCCAGAAGGACGTGGAGCTGTTGGAGCAGGTCCAGAGGAGGGCCACGAAGAGGATCAGAGGGTTGGAGCCACTTTGGTGTGAGGAGAGGCTGAGAGAGTTGGGGCTGTTCAGCCTGGAGAAGAGAAGGCACTGGGGAGACCTTATTGCGGCCTTCCAGTACCTAAAGGGGGCCTACAGGAGAGCTGGGGAGGGACTTTCTAGAAGGACATGTAGTGATAGGACAAGGGGGAATGGCTTCAAATTGGAAGAGGGCAAGTTTAGATTAGATATTAGGAAGAAATTTTTCCTTTTGAGGGTGGTGAGACACTGGAACAGGTTGCCCAGAGAAGCTGCAGATGCCCCATCCCTGGAGGTGTTCAAGGCCAGGCTGGACGTGGCCTTGGGCAACCTGGTCTAGTGGGAGGTGTCCCTGCCCATGGCAGGGGAGTTTGAACTAGGTGATCTTCAAGGTCCTTTCCAACCTAAACCATTCTATGATTTTATGATTTGCTAGTTTAACTCCAGCAGCTTCCCTTACAGGCACGCAGATGAGTGTGTGTCATCTCTGGTAGCTGGATGTGCAGATGTGAGGGTCAGCTTCAAGGTGCGTCCTGTGAGAGCACAGCAGCATCGGTCACAGGAGGGGTCTGGAGGCATTGTGTGTGTGTCCTCTCTTCACACCTGGAAAATAAATGTTACAAATAGAGAAGAGACTAAAAGAAAATCAACATGAAATTGTGCACATAACTTACATGTGTTAGTATAGAATACGGCTTAAAGGCATGGCTGTGGAGTCTCTGGTCCAGTCAAGCTTTGCAGATGGCACTCTAAAATGCACAACAATATGTTCAAATCACAGTTAAAGTTATATTATGCATAAACATTGCACATTGTATTAGAGAGATAAATATGACAACTGCATACAGGGTTGTGAAATCTGAAGTGGTACTTTCCTTCCGTAGTCTGAGCTGGGTGAAATGTTAAATAAGTAAATAAAGCTTATGTGATTCAAGCATGATTTCTTTTTAACAGTCAGTTTTTTGTATATCTATGTGTGCATTCACAATCATGATAGCTTGGCCTGAACAGAATTTCAGATCTATAGTTATATATCGTAAATTAATGGACCAAAACCACCCTGAATGGAATTAGGAAAAGGAAAGCAGAAAAAGATGCAACTGATTCTGATTTATGGATATATATGCCAATTTGTGTACAGTCATGTTTTTAAATGGCCTGTTACTTATCACGGTTTTGCCAAAGCATAATAATAATATGAAATTATTTTTAATGTTACTGGATTTGCATATATGTGGGAAAAAAATGTAGTATTACTCATTCGGTCCACTTATTTGCTTGTTAAAAAATCTTAATTTGGAATAATAGGTATGTTTTAAAGCATCATGTCAAGGCCTGTGCTTCCAACAGTGTGAAATACTTTTTTCTAGCTCTTGAAACCATGGAATCTGTTGAGTCAGATTCCTCTGCCATGTTTCAGAAAAAAAAAAAAAACCAACAAAAAACTGCAAGGAATCTCAGTAAGCCCACATTTGTATAGCCTATGTGGGAGTTTAAATACGTTGGTAGCAGTTCTTAGTGATATTCAGAGAATCTGAAATTTGGCTTTTGAGTTGAGCAAGAATGCTAAAATGAGAGCTCAGTCTTTAAACAAGTAGTTTTCACTTTGGTGATTCTGTAGGAGCATTGATGGTTCAGGCTGCAGTCCCTCCCGCGGTCACTTCAACACAACATAAATCTGTATTACCTCAAAGAGGAGAGTC